CTCTGAGCCACATGGATATATACTTCCTTTCTCTGCCCATTTCTTTTGTTTCCCTCTCCAGCTCTTTGTGCTCTGTCCGCTCTCCTGCAGCTCCCGGCAAATATGCTCTTCATCTGAAGTTCTTCTGCCCTGAGCAAAGGATTGGTCATGCAAAGTTCTGGTCATGCTGCCATTCATCATTCCCTTTTTTTTTTTTTTTTTTGGGAATTTGGACCATGTCTCGATTTGTGTGTGTCATAACGGATGACCCGAAGGATGCCGGTCAGCATTCCTGTTTTCAAAAAGTCAAAAATACAGAAAGACTTCCAAGCCAAAAAGCCAACTTACCGCTTATGGTATATTTAGTATAAGCAAGTTCTAAGATCACGTCCTTCGAATTCAAATTGACAGCAAGTAACATTAACTCTATTGACATTTCTGGATTTTGCCAAAATCTGACAATTCACAGACTATTGGAATTTGCAATAGATGTACTTGGCTTTTCGGAATGCAATCGGGTAAATTGCACGATTGATGGTAATATAAGACTAATATTTAACAGTTGATGGATTGGCACAAGAGATTTACATCCGCTATGATTCAATAAAAAAAAGATCCAAGTTTATCGAAAATTGAATGTTAACTGCATAAGGTCGTGTGTGTGCTATTCATTCATATCCACAGTTTTGAAGCAAAGATGGTGGAGAAATGGGACAAGCTGGAGGCTCAAGTACTCGCAAGAACAGAGGTATGGATCATGCTAACCATGGGCGAGAGTAACAGTATTGTTACAAATTGGTGGTCACTGCCATGGCTGCAACTGTCGTTAATTCGCATCAGGCATGAGGTCTTGCAAGTGATCACAAACCTGACCTGTGAATCTGCAGAGATATGTCCGCGTATCAGCTTTGTGGTGCTTCACTATTGCAGTCATTGAATTGTGGAGGGAACTTCGCGAATGCTGCCCCATCTCTTGGAGGAAGTGCCCAAAATCAGCGGGTCGCTGACCTTGTAGGGGTTTTTTAAAGTCTTCTGCAAGAATACCATAGGGTGAATCTGACTGGTTACTTGCTATGTCTCACATTACTTGTTATGTCTCACAGCCTTACATGTAATTTGTATTAGGTTGTGCTTTCGTTTTGTTGGCGTCACATTTGTTTGCAATTTTCAATCACCTCAGATTCCGAACTCTTGATTTTCTCTTCCGTCTGTTTGTGGATCAAGACCGAAGGGTTTTGTCAACTTTTGTGAGATAGGAGGTGGTGAACGGCTGCCGGGGAGAGGGCTTGGTCTTCAACTTTTGTCCGTGGTCGAAGTTCAGGCTTGGTCTCCTGTAGTCCCTCCTTCAGGCGCGTAGGCTGGCCGACGTTCGTCTCTTTGGGGGCTCCTCCGTTGCGCGATGGCGGGTGTGTTGGCTGGCGATGTGGCACGCGGGCGGGGCGCGTACGTTAGAGTGATGGCCTCTTCGGGGGCTCGTCCTTTGCGCGTGGCCGTGCGATGGCGGGCGCGCTGGCTGGCGATGGGGCACGCAGGCGAGGCGCGCGCATCGGGGCGAGGGTCTCTACGTTTCGAATTTGAAACGAGGCGTGGCTAGGGCGGTGTGGGCGCGAGCGCGTGAGCGCTAGCGCTACGGGGTTGCGCTAACCGGTGGCGCAGGCGCGAAAAAAAACATCAGAATTGAAAGAAAGACTTTCGCCTCGCATGTAATTTCTATTAGGTTGTGCTTTTGTTTTGTTGGCTTCACATTTGTTTGCAATTTTCAATCGCCCCAGATTCCAAACTCTTGATCTTCTCTTCAGTCTGTGTGTGGATCAAGACCGAAGGGTTTGTCAACTTTTGTGAGATAGGAGGAGGTGAACGGCTGCCGGGGAGAGGGTAGCGTTGCTGGATTGTTGAGATTCGTGTATCCAAGTCTGGGAGAACTGTGGCTAAAACAATGGAAAGTGCGAAGCCAACAAGGAATCCTGCACCTTTGGTTGAACATTTTTTGACAGTGCTGATCTGTGTGGGTTTTCTAGTGTGAGATCCACAGTGCATTAGCGTACATTGAGAGACTGGAAGTCTGATAAAAAAGAACCTGGATCACATGTTCTTGCCCGATAGTGAGCATACTCGGTTGGTGAAAATGGTAAACACAACAAAACACTTCGTCGGTTCGACGCAAGCAATGTGACGAAGCAATAATCTCTTGCGCAACAAGATGCGGGACACACACACAGACTTGTACTGTTAGTGCGGTTGAGTTGGACGACTGGATTTCAGGTTTGTCACTGAATCTCAGCCATCCATGTCTGGAGATCTTAGTCTTAGTACCATGAAGCTCTGAAAAAGTGCATTGCCCATGAGAACTAGGAAGATTGGAGGGGCCGGATGCTCAGATAACGAGTCATGTCATGTTGAAATGAGTTGTGGCACATATCAAATCCTCCCCCCGCCTTCAAACAAGAGTGACATGTCTGCATGGAGCAATCCTGCACGAGATAGGTAGTTCGGCAGGGAGGTAGGGAGGTAAGCAGGTAGGTAGGCAGGGAGGTAGGCAGAGCGTCAGAGAGAGAGAGAGAGAGAGAGAGAGAGAGAGAGAGAGAGAGAGAGAGAGAGAGAGAGAGAGAGAGAGAGAGAGAGAGGGTCGTTTTGTGGTTTGCGAGTATCCTTGTGTCCTCTTTTGTTGCTTGTGGGCAAACTGAAACAGGTCGTGTTGTCAATTCGGAACGTTGCTGCTGCAATGATCTCTTGAGGGATTTTTTTGCTTCGGTGTGGACATTTATAACTTGTTGGATCATGGAGGAGCCCAAAAAAAATAGGAAGCTCTGAGTTTGTGGCACTGCCAGAATTAATGGGGTTCTTTACCCTGTCTGTCCAATTTGGCAGTGTTTAAGGGGATTTTTGTTTCTTTCAACCTGAGTATTGTGTCATTCTTTTCATGCAGGAGGGAAATAAGCGAGTCCAAGCGATCTCCACTGAGCACCAACATCTCACATCACAATTTCAGGAACTTTGCTTCCAGTTCAAAACCCTCCAGGTAAGCTTAGGCATAGTTCCGGTTTCAAAATGCAGTTACAGGTCAGAGTTTTGGGACTTTCAGGCTTGAGCTTGAAGAGCCCTCAGTGAGGGAGCATCTTAGTAGCATTGTCAGGAAATGCGAAAACTTCCAAAAAGGAAAAGAAAGTTAATGTAAACGTTTCTGGGAGGCTGGGTATATGCGGGTCTGCAGGTAGGACATTGCTTCCACTGGAAGAGCAATGGTCTCCAGCAGCCACAGGTCGAGGTCCGGATCTTTCTCGTGTAATGATGTGTTTGGTGTCGCTCGTGTCATTCATTTCGGATTCAGTTTCCACTGTGGGTAATGGGCATCAATGACCATATCCATTGCTTTGCTCGTTTCCTAGATATAAAGAATAATGGTTTGAACTTAGAAGCTCCAAGGAGAGTGAGCACAATGGCCGGGCCGATAGACTACCGGTGTCCCCAAGGGGGGCGTGGGGCACGTCTGAGTAGTTTGAAAACAAACTACTCGGATCTCCCCCCCAAAAAAAGTCCGGTCCTGCACGCAGCGCGAAGTTTTTTTTCCGCACCCGCTGTCTCAAGTTGTCTCAACCAGAAGCATAGATTGGGTCTTTAGATCCGAGGGACTCCTGAACCGGTTTCCAGCCTTCAATAAAAATTACTTCTTCAAACAAACAGGCTGCTTCATTGGGGATTTGGTGTGTTGCTGGAGCTGGTTATAGTGCACAGAAATTGATTATCGGCCGGTGGCCTGGTGGCACAGTATGTGTTTTGCAGTTCAACTTACACAAGTTGTTCGACTATGCTTTCCTGACACGCCTATTTTGTCCCATTGTTTGTTCGGTAATGCCTACTCTTTTTTGCAGCATGGTCTCATACAGATGAGTACAGCACCGAGTTTTGCACCGAGCATAATGCCAACGCTTGGACCTCTCCAGGGCTGTGAAATCCGATCTCAGGTCAGCGGGGGGGCAGCCCCTGCTTGTGACTCAACCTCTGCTGCTTCCAAAAAAGTGGTTCCTGGCCAGCTTCCTGTTATCCCTTCGGCCAATCCTGGTGGTCCACCACAGCCTCCAACTCCTGCTCGGCATCCTCGGAGGGTTCAACCGACTACGCCCACAGTTCTCTCCGGAAGAGCAGCTGCGGGGAGCATAAGGCCAGCAAACCTTCATCTGCCAATGACATCTGAGGATGGGGCAGGGGATGTGTTGCCGAACAGTGCCTTTGGAAGTCCGGCGAACACAGTCAAGCATGCACCCAAGGCAGCACAGAAGCCTGATGGGGCTTGGGGTTTTTTATCTCTACTCACAGGTTCACCGGGGGGGAACGGAGAAACGGGTATGGCCCTGAATAGCCCAGCTACTCCGTCGTTTAGTGCAGGGATGCCTGCGCCCGGCACACCAGGTGCATGCCCCACTGTGATCTGGCCAACATCCGGATATGTGCTGAGGACCGACATGTCTGACATGGTTAACCGTGGGGGCTTTCTGGAAAATGGCCTGGGCTCTACCAGCCCTACGCCGACGGGAAGGCTGACTCCATCCCTGCCTGTTGTCCCACCCCCAGCAGACAACACGATGATGTTGCATAGGGACTCAATCTCTCTGTCGTCATTATCTGGCCCATTTTCAGGAAAGGCAGAACAACTCTTCGGGTTCCCTCGGCCGCAGGTGGGACCGGGGAACAGTGTGGCAGCAGTAAACACAGATGGGCCTGCAAGGCAGAGTGTGGTCCTTGAAGCTGGTGTCGACCATAAGGCAACTTTGGTTTTAGGCCTGCCGGGCAGTAGGGCTATGGAGACAGATACGTCACTGGCACATACACATTCAAAAGACAACTCAAATGTTAGTCCTCATCAGCGCTGGAGTCCCACTCTAAGCAATCGAGGTAAAGTGCTTCTGCTATTATCATCAAAATGCAAGCGTCAGAAACTTTCAGGAAAGTCAATTGCCGTGTTCGATCGACTGAGAAATCTGCTGTTTGTCAATTCTGAGTCTGTCAAAGCATGCTCTTTCTTGTAAAAGGGGGTAGACCCTACCCTTATTTTATCCATCTGATTCCATCAGGATCTGAACTCATGATCCCTTTACTGACAGTTACATTTGTGCACCATTCAACCACATGACCCGTGGAACTTGCGGGCAGTCCCGTTTGAGTGACCGGTTAATGTACCAGTGGGGGTCAAGTGCTCATTGGAGCCAAGTGTGTGTAGTGTCCGTGTGGTGGTGTGTGTGGTGTGCGTGGTGTGCGAGGTGCGCGTGGTGTGTGTGGTGTGTGTGGTGTGTGTGGTGTGCGTGGTGTGTGCAGTGTGCGTGGTGTGTGTGGTGTGTGCGAGTTGGACACTACAGCCTTGCGGGGGTGACCCGTGGAACTTGCAGGCAGCTATGGTAAGTCCCGTTTGAGTGACGGGGCAATGTACCAGTGGGGGTCAAGTGCTGATTGGAGACAAGTGTGTGCAGCTTCCGTGTGGTTGTGTGTGTGGTGTGTGGTGTGTGTGAGTTGGACACCACAGCCTTGCAGGGGTGGGGTGGATATCATGAGAGGTGTAGTGGTTAAGAGACTGGACTCTTGTGGCCAAGGGTGTCGGTTTGATCCTGTGCGTGCACGGAAGGGCCTGAGGCCCAGATGCAAGGATACATAACTACAGACAGTATGTTGGAATTTTCACATTGAGCTGGCTGCAGTGATGTCCTGATTATTGCTGTTCTTTTCCCACTTGTTTTCCTCTTGTTCTTTGTCCTGCAGTATGTGCCACACTCATCCTCCTGCTGTTTTAGCTGGGCTATAGGAAGTGCACTAGGATAATAAATTCCACAGGAGAATGCCACCGTCGCTGTCCTCCTGTTTGGTGTTGTTCTTTTCCCACTTGTCTTCCTCATGTTCCTTGTCCTGCAGTGAGTGCCACACTCATCCTCCTGCTATTTTAGCTGAACTATAGGAAGTGCTCTAGGATGATACTTCCCATAGTAGAATGCCACCATGACCTTAAACCACCAGTACTTGGCCCAGCTATCGCAGCCGAGCCTGGAAGTGCCCTGCGCGCCGTTTCCCGCCGAAGCGCCAATTCCATTTTTGTTTTCGGAAAGGCTGGCGGCGCCAGCCTTCTAGGTCCGGTTGCCCGAAGCGCGAACTTCGCGTAGCATTAACGCTAAGGCCCGCGGCTGATATATGGGCCAAGTACTGGTGGTTTAAAAGTACATGCCTTTGTGGCTGCATGCTTCTCAAGGCTGAATGTGTATCATTCTCTGTTTTGGATCCTTGGTATTGTCCTTACCCTTTGGATCCTTGGTATTGTCCTTTACCTAATGTCTAATTCTCTAGTACGTATGGCTGTTTTCCCAGCAGGTGCGGTGTTGTCCTTTACCTAATGTCTAATTCTCTAGTACGTATGGCTGTTTTCCCAGCAGGTGCGGTGTCGAGCCATGTTCCGGCTGTGCATATGACTTATCCGATGCGAGAAGGCCATGGGCCGAAGTCTGCAACAGCAGAGGAGGATGTTTCCAGCTTCAAGGAAGCCCCACATCATTCAGGACTGTCTCTGCAAATAGGGTGACGACAATGACGAGTACATTTTGTATGCAGGCTCTCCACACTTGCCTTTGGAACCCGGAGAGTTGGCATTCACCGTGCGTAATCGTGCGTAATTGATTTCTAGGCAGAGGAATAACTATCTCCAAGGGAAGTGCTAGACAACAATGGGCTACCGGAGTCAGAAGCATCGTAGATGTGATACGTTGGCCTTTCCTTTTCGCTGGTGAACGCCGAGGTTTCAGAGAGGGAGATGTGTCTTTTTATGGGGAGGAGAGAGATGGCAAATTCCTGGCAACAGTTGCCCCTCTGTGCTTAGGTATGTGGATACGTTGGCCTTTCCTTTTTTAAGTTTTTTTTCCTTTTTTTTGTTAAGGAATTTTTTTTTTTCCAGAAAAGTACAAAAAATAGGGATATTCCTAGGCTACCAGCCGGGCCGCCCGGGTCACCCTATTTTCCTGGGTGGCCTGGCCGTGCAAGCACCAGGGAAGGTCCCA